GATGAGGTTGAAACGACGTCGGTATAAAAAAGCTATTTGAGAAAAACACCACAACATTATTGAGACACGAGCGAAACTTGAACTTGCGGTGTCTTCGAACGCGAGATACCTTTACCGGGGGCTCCAGAACAACATAGAGACTATCGCTCTGTCTTATGAGCATTTTTCAACTTTTATAAATTTTTTTTCGAAATTAGCCTTCTAGGAAAACGATATTGACATTTCGGAGACGTACTTCTAAGAACACTGCTATCAAGATGTAGCTTTTTCATTCGATAACGTGATCCTTGCCAGGACATTATACTGCTCTCCTTTCGTATTTATCAGATCATTTACTGATAACAATGGCAATAATCGTCCACATTTTTGTGGCGAAGAAATTGTGTTCAATGACATGAGCGGTAGAACCACACCTCTCGTTAGCCTCTGGACAGCAACAAAGTTTATTGTATAATTGACACTATAAGTAATGAACAAACTCTATGGACATCATCATGCCCCGATAAGAAAATGGAAAAGAAAGAGATCACACTGAGTGAAGGCATCTATTTGGCTTCATGGGCATCTTATGTCCAATAAATTTTACTGATAAAATATTCCTGCGGTGTGTGATCGATTTTTTATCTGATTGCAAAAGAGAGCTTTTGATACCGCATGTTTTGTGATCTCCTATCCCAGATTTCTCTCGTTTAAGTAAAGTTCACTGCTCATGGTAACACGGATCACTTCATTCTTACAGTGATCTGAACACTAATTTCTTCCTAATCGATAAGCTTTTTAATGGCTTTATGAAACAGATTCTCATTTTAATCGAATAATATCAAGTATAGCGCGCTTCCCAATATGAGGTATCAGTGACAATCAAAGCTTTCACATTACAAGACATATGTTTTCAAAAAGCCGAAGGCTCCTCCTATGCGGAGTAGTCGCTTGTTTGATTGGACACAGGACAGTGAGGGTCACCTCCTCTCAAGATTTATACTTGATCTGTGAGTGGATATTTTGACATTGATTCTATATATCATTATTTTAATGTGAAACTGTATGCCACATGGATATTCTACATGGTGCAGGAAAGTCGTGATAATTTTTCAGGCACTTCAATATTGAAAAAACACTACATAAACAAATGAATTCATTCAAATGAAAGGGCAATTACTCTTAGTAGATCAACAATTACGACAGTAAACAAAAAGATTACAAGAAATTCTCAAAATTGCCCACTTTTGGTCGAATATGTTTACGAGTCGCCTGCAAAAATTTTCAATAACGCTAGCACCCGTTCCACCGTAATTTCGTCCTAAGCGCATATCAAAGCCGTTTTAAGCGCATCTTCAGTAGTGTAGCGAGTAGCGAATTTTTCCTCGAGCATGAACCACACATCCATTGGGTTGAAATCCGGCAAATTTGTCTGCCAAATGTCTATGCACCAAAAGCCTGGAAACAGCTGCTGACACATGGCAATCGTTGAGCTAGCCCAATGCGCAGGAGCCCAGTTTTGCTAAACGTGGACCCGTCGGTGTCAAAGAGATGACTAGTCTAAGGCTCCACTGTGTTCCGTAAAACTTGTTGCTGATAGCTGGCGACGCTGATTTTGACGTTGTTGATGCATTCCAACGGCGCCTTTCCGGTGATGCAAATCAGCCCAGAGCAGAGGCCGGAAGATGGCCTCAACCCGTGGTTTCTGCTAGTGTGCACTTCTGCTGACACTTCTTGAGAAGTTGAGGGCGATTATGACGATTGTGGAGTAGTTCGACCGTTAATTTCTTCTCAATCGTAAGAAACTCCTTCGACCAAAGAACACTAGCGATCAAACGAATGATTGGGTAACCCTTCAAGCCGTTCTTCTTTCATCTCTTTGCCCAGAAAATAAACAAGAGAGATCTTGTAGCTGCGCAGCTTCAGCTTACTTTGGCATTGTTTTGGACGCTCTACTCGCTGATCCCGAGCTTCCCGACCCATTTTGCGCATCGAAAGCTCCGGATTTTGTTGAATTTGGCTATTGGTTCTGCTGGATATTTTCCGGCGTTGATGATATGGTTAGAGCACCTTTTCAGGGACGGTCCCTAATCCCTCCAGTATCTTTGGAACGTTTCACGACTCTACAGACACTTGTGATTTGAAACATTTATTTTTACAATGTCGGCGTTTTCATTACTGTCTTCTTCAACTGAGTTACTGCGGATACGTTGACTGTCACGATTCATAAATTGAGCACATTTGAAAGTTGGCAAATAAATAAAACGTGCTAGACCAAAACTGAACGAAGAAATCTATAAAGTTCTCAGCACTGATGAAGAATCGATATATCAACACAAAAATTAACAAAATATGAAACTAGCGCAACTTTCTCGTCCTGCATATTATTACAATTGACGCGTCATGCACCTATGTCATGATCTAATCAAAAGGAATTATCATGAGACGTCTTCTGAGTCTCTGTACTTCTATTTAATGTGCAGAAATAAAATTTGTTGTAAAAAAGTCTCGTAAAATGAAGAAACGATTTAATATGATCAGCAGTTCTATTCCGTTCGCCGGTCTTCCATTTATTCGGTAACCATTTAGAGGAGGATTAATTAGAAAATGTAAGATGCTCCAGATTTGCTTTCATATTCACTCGATTTGCTTCCATTTAGCATTTTGTAGGTGTTTGAAAGGTTTTATAGGTGTTGAGACATTCAGAAACATGTACCACACAGAATGACCACTGTCATTAGTTGTTTAGCCCCAAATTATGATATTGTTCATTGCCTTACAGAATTGATTTTTTAGTTGAAGAATAGTGAATGCACAGTGAGCTCAGCGAACGGGGAAATGAGATTAAGCCACGCATAAAGAGGGCGAAAACACAGTCTCGAAGCATCCATTGTGCGAAAATGAACACGTTGAAATGGTCTAGTGATTAAGGTGACACCTCCTATGTGCCTCCTGGAAGTTCAGCATACATGAAGAACAACATCAATGAGAAATTTGACATAAGGGGACCAGCATGGGCCGCATTTGGGCCTCTTAAGGAAGTCACCGACTAAATAGCGAACACCAAAATCCGTGCTCCTTCTACCAAATCAGCAGTTTTCCCATCGTTCTGTAATGAAGCAGAAATGTAGGTTTACCACAAGCACATCAAAAAATCTGCGCACGGCCCACAGGACTCTTGACGAGGTCTTCTGAAAATCAATTGGAGACTATGACGTCTAGCAGGCGGGCGCAGCTTGGAACAACAAAAATTATCCCATGCTCGCGATCCATAAATACATGATCGATAGCGAAGCACAGATGAGCCGGTGGCATATCAAGAAGGTTGGATGGCAGATTGACGAAGAGCACACTGAATTAAACTGCGAGAAACTGCGAGCGTTCTGCAAGACTATCTAAACAGTGGGAGAACATGCTCATGGCTCTGCGTCCACACATTGCAAAAAGTTTAGAAACACCGAATGGGCTTTGCGTACCTCGCCATGACCGAAATGGGCCACCACCATGAAGACTATTGTGCGAGAGAAAAGTGATTTGAAACTATGCTGGGGTTCCCGCTATCAGTGAAGACGGGCCGCCCATTTATCAAAGTTAGTTTTAGCTAACGTGGTGTCGGCAATAAATCTTTTTTGGCTATGGTTTCGACTTCTTCCCTCTGTTCAAAGCCGATTGATCAAGCAGACAGTCTAAAAATGTTTATTTTTGGAAGGTGGACGTTCGTCGTCGCGTCACGACTAATCCAGCGAAAAGAGTGGAAGCTAAAATTTGACTTACAAAATTGATTTGAAGGAAGAAGACAGATTGGTCTCAGTTCTGCAATAACCTGTGCCTGCAAAATGAAGTCGTCCAAAATAATTTTTTGAATTATTGGCTAAGAAATTCTTAAGAACTCGTCGCAGGGTTTGCGCTGAGTAGGCTATAGACTGAAAAAATGCGACCTATACGGGATTTGAATTACTGTAAGTTCATTTTTTCAAGTCCCACCTAGGTTTGAATTTTCGCTCCAACTAAATAAGTTTTGATGGATATTTGTGACATCATACCACTTCGCAGAGGGTAAAATAAAGAATTCGTGTAGATCATGCAGTCTGAGGCCTTCAATTAGACCACCACAAAGAAAGCGATCCCTATAGAGATTTCAGAGGCGTCTCCGACAAATTCAAAACAACTCTCATAGAAGTCGCTAGCCACGAGAGTACTGAGATGACTCGAGCCTTCTCAGCTAAAAAATTTTCCGGGTCTAATTATCCATTAGGTAGAAAAATACTGGAATTTTACCAGTTGTTTTTGTTCACACAGAGTTTATAACTCTGAAGTAACAAATACGATAAAATCTCAGAAATCTTTTGCATTTAAGGCGTTGCGTAAAATATGTAGTAATTCATAACGTTTTCATCTTTCTCTTCACAGCGGTTACAACTTTCAACCCGTTCTAAACTGCGCTGATTCGGACGAGCGCAGGGCGTACAGGGACTATATAGTTTTCTTGAAAAAAAATCGAAATTTCAATATCACTCAATAAAATTTTATCGTTAGTGAGTGGTGTATGATGGGACTGACCCCAAAAAAGGTATGGGTAGTAGGGCAACATCGGTGTTCCTTTTAGAACCTTGTATTTTCAAGCAATAAACGAGATGCCAACGATAGGGTAATAAATCATACTGCTCTTGAGCATTTCTATGCTATCTCATATATAATAATTCACATTTAAATAATAATTATCTTTCAGTATCTTCTTCTGTTTAGCCGCTTAGAAGTAGATACTGATCTATTCAAACTATGCCGAGGTTAATAGATAGTCGGTCCTGGAATTTATCTTTCATTTAATACATCACCAACGATTCTCCTTTATATAACACCACAAATGAATAAATAATCAAAGAAACAAGAATATTGTCATTTTAATTCTAAAAACAAGTATTACGACATGTAGATCCAAAATCTCCCATGTTTTTGCCGATTTTTCGCAATGTCATGATGTTTCATATGACCTAAGAGAATTTAGTGATATGCAAATGTTCGATCTCAGGCGGGAGTTGAACCGGCGTTTCACCTATAGCGGAGGCGCTTGATACCACTACACCACTGAGGCTACCGCTTACTCACCATTAATTCTTTAATATCTCTCTATCATAGCTATCAGCCACCAACAACGCACTCCGTGAGGATAAAACGAGGGCTCAGCCCCGTTTTAGGTTGAATTTTTGCCTAGCATTCAATTCTCTCAGGTATTATGACATAAATATTCCACGTTTCAAAACTCTCACCATCATGGTGATTGAAGCTTACAAGACTGTAAATAGTTTGCCAAAAATAATACAACTGATTGCATGCGATGCCACTTTATCGACGAATTTCAATAATTTTAGTTGTCCTTCACAAGTTGGGAACTTCATAGATTATATAACAGGCATTTTTCTGTCGTTTTCGGGGTATAAACTTTTATTTGTTCATTTGCTCTCTTTTTTAAGCAAGGTTCAGACACAATTTCGGATGCTCTACGTTGTTCTTTCTAAATGCATGTTTTCAAGACGATTTCAATACACATCTTTTCAAGATACTTCAGTGCAACCACATCTAGGTGGATCTCAGACCACCTTGTCCTCCCAGCTGCTTTTGATGGGCATTCTACTCCACTTAGACTAAAAGACTAATGAAATCTCTGCAGACCACTTAAAGCTACTAATCGCAAAAGTTGTGGGGAAGAGTATTCTTGAATAAATGCTCTCAGTAAAGCGTTTTGTCGTGCGTGCTGATAAAGACTAGTAAATTCCTTCAATCGCTTTCTGCCAATCAGTGGCTGTAAAGAGGTCGATGACAAAGCCGCCAACATCATGGAAAGCAATTCACCTGTAACAGGTGCTTGCCTTTGAGCAGTGACTGGAACGAGGAAGAGCAACACAATTTTAAAGATAAAAGATTATGAGGTGTTCCCAAGAAAAGTGTTGTCGCTCAGGACCGTACTCTCTGATGAGCAACGGGCAGGTGTTGAAGATGACATAATGGTGACGTGCTAGGAGCCAGTCGACTTCTACTATTTATTCATGACCAATCTTATTGCCACTGTACATCTACAAAACATTTGTGCACCCAGCGCAGTCACAACTCCTAGACGAACTTTTTGCGGATCATGGTAAGGTGTTAATCGTGAAGAATATGCTTAGATAAGTACTTCGAGCGCAAGGTCTTTAACACAAGAAAATTTAAGATTATATTGTGTACTTTTGCCCAAGACTCATTCCGCACTGCTCACTCTCCAATTAGTTGATATTCACTGTCTCCGGAAATCCGCCTGGAAGTGGTCGGCTGCCCAGATTACGATTCAGTTTAACTTCCTCAGAAAAAGAAAAGAATATCTAAAGCACAGTCATGTGTATTGTATGATACCCAATCTCATTATCAGGACATCGTTGAAGAGATAATTGGTGAGCGATAAAAAAAAGGTGTTGTCACCCAACCCAACCTTACACTTCAATGAAGATATGAGGTGTTGAAAACAACATAACACTCAGGTGCAGCAAAATATTCGACTTCTATTGCTACAAGGTAGGCGATAAGGACGGGCAGTAAAAAAGAAAATATATTCATTCCTTATTACCACGTCCTTTCTTTATCACAGACACAGTTTTATAAAACTTATGGGCTCATCATTGATAAACATGGTGTACTAAAGCTAGAACCTACAGCTATATAAATCTTCTCGGCAACATGGTATCTCTGTAAGATGATATAGTACGTCTGTCATCTAAATTTTGCTTTATAACTGCCCACAAAGAGTTAAAAGTTTTCTAAAGTTCCTCGTTGGTACAGCACACTAAGGAGGCTTTTCTAAAGTCAAGCAAGCCTTGAAATCTTCATTTCTTTACCTATCCAAAGGTTACCAGTAGTCTAATGGAGTGGGAAGTACTGACTACTGATCGCTGAAAGTACAGATTCCTAGCATTAGGTGGAAATTGCTGATCTTTGACTATATTTGGGGAAAGGTGAGTTGCTGCTGTCTGATGCCAATTGACAACGATGATGGAGAAATATTTAGGGTAGTGAAAATATTGGTCCACGTTAGAAAGACCCTTCATTTCTAGAGAACTAGTCTTGAACTCAATGAGCGCGAATTGTATCGAGGTTTACATGTCAACATAGTGGAACCCTACCACATATAATCTTTCTGGAAGTTGCATACTGCAGAAATTGTCTTTTTCGGCAGCAATTTTCTTGGGACAGTTTAGTATTGCAATCAACATATTCAACCATTATTAGTCTTTGAAAAGAACTTCGTTCAATAGAAAATGCAATGGCACATTGCACAGAATGCGCATGCATTACAAGTTAACCATCAAAAATACGTTTGGAGACCGTTTCAGTAATGTTCTATCATATTCTAACGATAAAGTTCGCCTAGAATCATATTATGCTATAGAATGCTGAGAAATTCGCTGTGAAGCTGTAACGACGCATATCGAAAATGAAGTGTAATGCTGTAAAACGAGGATATTTTCAAGAATAAGGGTTTATATTGTAATTTGTAGCTTTTGAGCTATCGCATGTTGCTAAAGAACACAGACAGAGAACGAGCAAAAATATTTTGAAGCAGCTGCTCAAATTCACCTTAATGCACACTTCAGTGAATTTTGCTGCAATACTCTACTGAAAAGTCAACATCAGTGTGATTTGCTATTTTATTGATGCTGTAGTGTAACAATAAACGTCTGCTATATAGAAGTGCTTGCCTCAAACACTTTGCATTAAAATTTTAATTTTTGCCTACAGTGTAGTCATGAAGAAGTGTCATCGAAATGCAGCCGATGCTAACACTCGAATCGCCGTGTTCACAACACTCTGCCACATCGTTTTCGAAAGATTCGCTCTGTGTTCTTGGTCTGCACAACTTTTTCTCCAGGACGAAGTTGTACAAAAGAATGTAATTCTAATCAAGGATAAATCTTGTATGGTCAGCAATAAGGTAAAATATTCTTGAATAAGTAAAATTGAGTTGCTTATGATTTTTTATTGCAAAATTTCTCATCGATCTCCCGGAGGAAAGCAAAAAATCTACAATCATCACATCACACATTTCAATGTACCATAAAATTCCATAGATAGGAGGTGTTTATTTTTTGAGACGGAGAAACACGCGGAAAAAAAAATTCAACATCAAGAAAAGACAGGTATAACAAAATTCAGGAAGAAGTGTACATACGCACCCATTTTCCAGCACAGACCGCTCTTACTTATGGACTATTAGAGTAGTTAATTGCATTACGCTGACCAATAAACAGTCTTGCGATTTCCCACTTTATTTATCGTGTACTGCTAAAATGAATATCGGTTAGATGCAAAAGTTTGTTTCAAACACATTACAGATCCATTCTTAGTTCCCGCCCACAGTGGCCATTGCCGAAATGAAGTGCGGTCCAAATGGAGCCGATGCTAACATTCGAACCGCTCTGTTCAATACATTTCGCCATATCGCTGTCGACCAACTAGCCATGATGATGTTTGTGGTCTGCACAGAATATTCTGTTTTTAAAAAGCGAGCTTGTGTAGGAGAAAGCTGCTCAAACCGAAAGAGTTCCTGAGATTGACGTGTAGGTGGCGGGAACAGACATGACTGTCGCTTCACCGGCCTTTGGCATATTACACATTCCTTTCCTAGCACCAGCAGTGCAAATTCCCGTCACCGTGTTGCTAACGATGACGCAGCGCCGTACAGTCATACCCATCTCGACTGCAAAAAAAAAAACTGAAATCTCAGAGAGACGTCCTTTCCCACTGCAACAAAAATTGTTAGAGTTTCAAGCATTGACTTTCATCCATTCTTCAGGACCTCTAGACCTCTACAAATTGAATACTATGTCATTCTCAAGAAAAGTAATGAAGAACATGTAGAAAAATACCATCATCCTGAAGGTACTAGTTTAGTGTCACTGTGGCAGGTTCTCTCATACTGCGGAAAATTTCCCAAGTAATTCTAAGAGTTGCTGTTTTTGAACAAAATGCAGTTCTCCTTTTTTCGAAAGAGTGTTATATTTTTGCTTGAAATTCTTTATATGAACACTCAATATCGGAAACCCACCTTCTCCCATTGCATTAATGGCAACAGCCTGGCATTCCAACGGCTCGTAAGTAATGTTGACACTAAGTTGACCCAAAATGGACGAAATTACAGCATCAGATAGGAGTACACTGCGACCTTGGAGTTCGAGAACATCAAAGATCTGCAGGGCAGATTTCTTTAAAACTAATTCGGAGACTTTATTTCGAGTTCTTATTAGCAAGATTAGTTGAACTATTGCAAGTCATGTTAATATTAGGAGGCTGACGAATTCAGAAAATCGAAGGACACCTCCTAGGTCTTTACAGGATTTGTGAAAAGGAAGAGAATGCTTGAGATCTATGATGCGAACTCACTGTTTGCATTACAAGACGTTGCACAAATGCTTGAACTCCTCCTTTGTTACTAGCAATACCAGGTACCTGAGCAGAAACTTCTGCCGATCCTGAGTAAACCATCGTAACAGGCAAGGAGAACCCGGTGACGGTGAAGATCGTAGAGCGCGCTGCAACTCGCCTTTGTAGTTTTTTAGTGATCATCGATCATCAATTTTTTATGTTGAATAATGTCTTGAGCTTCTTGTTTTGTTTCCTATTCCGAAATCCTTTCGTTAGAAGCCATAAATTACGAAAACTCTTGTTTCGATGAATTTCGTATTTATTGCGATTGGATTTATGAATTTCCGTTATAGCGATATGAAAATACTATGTCTATACATTGTCCTGCAGGCATCACTCCACACCCCAGCACTGTCGAGATTGTTGCTAAGAGCAAAATAACGAAGCGAATGTTCAGAAGTCTTGCCGTGTGCATTGTTGGCTCCTAAAATCTAAGCAAACATCGTTGATTGTGCTGAGAACAAATTTTTCATTCCATTGTATCACATCGCTTACAAGGCAGCAACAGATGTAGTACTCAGCACCAATATGTGGGTGTCGGCGTGCAAGAACTTTGACTTTTCAAGAGCTCGTGAGGTTCCGGATCCATTTAATTTCAATCAAAATCCGGTATTTTTCTGCTAGACGGCGACAGATGAATACTCGACCACATTCGCTGAACAAGAATTCTTCATAGGAGTGTTAAAAATCATTCGAAAGCATAAATCTCTGGCTACAACAGCGCTTGGGTGGTTTTCTAAAACATCCTTTTGTAAAGCTGCAAAATCGAAAAAATGTATTATGTCTCATACAACCACGCTTTTTTTCTCTTATCTCGCCAATAATTCGCTGAACAAAAGTGATTTATAAAACTGCTGGTACACTTTCGATAGCACAAGTCTTGAGAAACTCAAAAATCTGTCTGTTTCGTGGAACAGCTCATTCGATATCAGGAGAAAGAGAAACTTTGTGCTTGAAACCTTGCCAGACACACCTTTTTCTTTAGACTATCAATATATCGGGTATAGTATAACATCACACCACCGCAAGAGGCGGTTAAACAAACGATTTTCGATTGATTACTAATACCCAATATCTGTCAACATAAGTGGGTTCAATGTCGATAGCGGCTGCCCCGCCAGACCGTCGACGGTTGACTGTTGACCACGTAACGCGTTGTAGCCTAAAAAGAGTGCCGTGCAAAACGAGCGTCGGTGGTGCAGCGGTTCAGCACAGGCTTCCGGAGAGCGTGAGATCTGGGTTCGATTCCCGGCTGAGGCAAATGTTTTTGCACTCCACATTATTGGGTATAGTATGACATTATACCACCGCAAGAGGCGGTCAAATAAATGAATTTCGATTAATTGTTTGTATTCATTCGATGAGGTGAATTTCAATTATTTCAATTTCTGTTTTTTGGGATAGCTCTTTTGATATTAGGAAAAAGAAATTTTGTGCTTGAAACCTTGCCACATAGAGCTCTTTCTTTAGACCATTTTATTCATCCGATAGTGTGAGTATCAATGATTTCAACGTTATGCTTACTTTATAGGAAAGGCGTTGCACTGCAGTGTAGCAGGAAAAAATGAGATCGAGTTTCACTATTCGGCAAGCTTGCCTACCGACTAATCTACGCTTTGGGGCGCGGGGCGATCAATCGATGGCCTGAAGAGTTGGAAATATCGGATGCCACTTGTTATATTGGAAAAACTTAAGATAGTACGATTGACTCATATACTATTAGAATACCCTCTACACGTTCACATGCTTTTCGTGCTTCCAGCGAATTCTACTCGAGGTAAAAATAGCGGCGCGCTGCGGATGTGAACATAAATTTGTTTTGGATTTTACAGCGTCATGAAAAAGTGCTTTGAAAAAACAGTCTACGTACGGATGTAGTTAGAGATTTGGGCTTTCGAATGATTACTAACATTCCATGAAAAATTCTTGTTCAGCGAATGTAGTCGCGTATTCATTTGTCTGCATCTAGCCGAAGAAACCCCAAATCACTTAAAACAAGTGTTGTGGGAGATCTTCGAAGCAGACGGGAATCGGTTAATCAATTGAAGTGTATGTCAAATCTTGTATGAGAGCGAGGTACGCTGAAAAGCCCGGTAAAGAAGAAATTCAGTGAGTGCGGCGATTTCTCACGTGTTATGTATCGAACATGTCGCCGCCTTCTCATTTCTCATGCTGCGTCATAAAATTTCGACATTCTCAAAAATAAAAATTCACTGTCGACAAAACGACAACGTTACGAGTGCACTTTTATCAAAAAATTGTGAAACAAGGTATCGATTGACAGAAATCAAGCAGAATCTTCTGCACGAGACATTTTTGGCCATATATTTCTGACAGGCAGATAATGAATTTGTTGAGCTCTAGCGTGCTAATTAACGTTACCCATTTATTACGCCTATGGAATCTTTTTTTTTTTTGAGCGGAAACCGCTAGAACTCCGAGCATGAACCTATGCTAAATCTCGCGTAGGACTCGAAGAAGAACCGATAAATAGATATCACAAAAAATCCACTAATATGAAGAGTAAAAAAATTGAGGCAACTCGTTGAAATACAATTGCATGAAGACGCCACGTCTTGCTAGGAGCACGAGAATCCTACGCTTTGAACAAAGTGCCTATATATCGAGATGAGTATGTAAAGTGAACGCTCTGGAAAAAACCGCTAAGGTGACGCTGATCGTGGTTTCCTTACTTGCCTTGTGAATGTTCCAAGTTTCTCATCAGAGCGAACGTTTACGATATGCTCTCGATTTTTCGCAATTTTTCCACGATGTGCAGGAAAAGCAAAAATTGTTATTGCACAATTCGTATAGCGAATTCTTATTTCATTTATGTACCGTTAAAAGTTTTCAGTAGTCTACCTTATTGTTGTGAATGTTTTATAAAATACCCTGAATATTTTGAGATCCGATTTTATTATACATTTTCTAACACTTCATTGATCCGTCTTCACTACTTCTTCTTCATTGTGCGATCTCAGTACTTTTGGAATTCAATTCGTGCCTTCGTATTATTCTTGAAAATTGCAGAAGACTGGCTGAACACGTCTCATTGCAGTCTCGAGGATTGATTGGCTATGGCGATCCATAGTGCGTTTGTTGCTGACTGCCAGAGAGTGTTGGGGCAGAGAATAGCATGTGGGTGCCGCGATGAGCATCACATCCACACGGCAACGGCGTTCTATGATTTACTATGATAAGTGAAAAATTAAACCCAGTGGGTGTTCTTTATCAAAAAGTGAGGTCCTCGAAAAAATTGGCCTTTTCCGCTTGGTAGCACAGACTTCTCAAGCTTATTCCCTATGCTCGGCAAGAAGATTTCGTGAAGAGTGTTAGTAATCGTTCGAAAGCATGTATGGCGAACTATCCGCATTCATAGTTAGTTTTTTGAAAAGACCCTTTTATGATGCGAAAAAAATCAGATCAAAGCTATGTTACACAAGCGCATATTTCTCGCTGGGCAGAGCTTTTCTGTACACTATCAGTAATCTTTCGATAGCATAAAATTTACCGATCGTAAAGCTTTGCTGATTTTTGAAAGATTGTTTCTCTGCAGTGCAGCAGCGAAAGTAAGATTGAATTCGCATGAGCGAGAAAGTGGTCTCTGGTCAATTCACTGGCTACTGGGTGAGGTGGTAATGGGTTGCGCAATTAACGATTTTCCTGTCAAGCCTAAAAGATAAGCTTGAAAGTCTTTGCCGCCAAACGTAAATGAACCTACAATAATTTATAAACTTGTTTTGAGGAATAAGATGATTTGGAAATGAAATCAAAAAGTGTTTAGTAACGGCAGCATCTCATGCAAGTCAAATTCGGTGTGGAAAGCATTCTTCAATCTGCGAGTCACCTTGCAAGTGAGTTATTCTACAAAGCTTGAAATTTCACTCATTTCGAGGTGTGAGAAAATTCTCCGAGTTGAAGCATAATAAGTTGAATTTTATCTTGTTTACCGATGACAAATCAAAGCTGTTAGCGCTGTGAAATCATTGACCTTGGTATGAGTTTTTTATGAGGCGAACTAAAGCTGACTGTGCAGACTGTGACGTTTTGAATAGTTTTGTGTGGAATGTTGTATAATATTCACTTGATCCTCTTTAGAATGATACCAATTTCGTTATAATAAACTTTAGAATTCTTATGTTAGCGAGAGCCAGCTTTTTTGCCAATGCGGTCATGAATTACAAGTGAAACTACCAGATTCAAGAAAAATAATCATTCCTTGTACTAAAGGCATTTGAGAAGAATTATGAGCAGAAGGCAAAATCATTAAAACGTTAGCCATTATGCAGACTTGTAACGGCCTCGTATAAACTCGTCAACGATTATAGTAATAATCATCCGTGGCTAGGTCCGATAGAATTCCAAATGCAACTACTCCAAAGGTTGTAAGGAAAATCGTTTCAGTCAGCATTCGATGACGCTCAAAAGTAAGATGAATTCTTCACGCAACAGTCGAATGAATCGAATGCGAGAAGTGGAGGAATATGTACAATATGTGTGATGATGAATCATGTGAAAAAAATTATAAGTAGGTATCAGTGCAAGAAACCTAGGACGGCAAAGAAGAATGGTATATCTCACCTAAGCACTGCTCCTCGATGAAGGAAACCTTGTTGGGAAATATATGCAGATTTATTAGGATATAAATCTAATAGTAAAAATTACAGTATCTACTACAAAAGCACTAAAGTACTTTTACTGACTATATATCGACGAGAGTTGAGTAACTTGCAAAGTTCTAAGTCCCGGCGGAAGTTGAAATCGTACCTACCCTTACTAGGGCCGCATGTTAATCAATACATTGTGGAGACATTTGATCAGCTATACATTACGAACTATCGCATGAAGCAGAAAGAATGACAGCAGAACGGCGGTTTCGGTGGCATAGTGGTAGCCGCTCCCCGGTGAAACGCGTGTTCGTCTACCGACTGAGGCTCACGGCTTCGAATATCACTCGGTTTTCTTGGCTATACGAAAGTATAATTATGCAGCACTGCTGTAAAAGTAGAATAAAAAATTTTTGCAGTATATTGATTAGTAGAAGCTGAATCTATTGAAATTTGCGATCTCTTGCGTACCTCTGTCAAGCTTGAAGTCTATTAAACTCATCGGTGGTTGCTCTAATGAGCTCATCTCTCAAAACGGATTGACTTAATTCAAAAAAGTGGGTAGGATAAACTTTCTGCCGCAATGTTCAAAAGGTGTCTTTAGATCACAGTTTTATACATCTTGTATGTAACCATGGCAGTAATGAACAGCTGCTGCCAAGTGAAGTGCTTTAGAGTTGAATCGAGCTACGATGATCTGCCATAGAACGTTTTGAATTAGCGATGACGCGACGCTATCTGCCTATCAACGGTGGTCGTCAAAGGGTCAATCGAATCGCATCGCATCGCAATAGTTGCTAGCACTCTTATCGGCGGGACATTTGTTAGTTGCGGAATGAGAAACATGAATGCTCTACTTGGCTCATCATTCTTCTCAAATGCTTTGATTGAACGATTTAATTGATTTTCACAATTAATGGCTCATTTTGTATTTGATAATCTATACTGCGTTGCAAGCCTAGTTCTTCCTCTTAAAGTAAAAATTTTTCGAAATGAAATTACAAAGAAATTAGTCTAATCCAAAACAATCAAGTGATTACCATACAGCAATCCACATAAGCATAGCTGTGAGATGATTTGGATCACCAAATCTTTATTGGAACAGTTTTGTAGAAGCATCGTTTGAAATTCGATGGTCTAATACTATATCGGTTTCAAAGTGCAAGGAGGATACTGAAGTGGAAAAGCTTGTCGCCCATCAGTTCATCTAAAACGCCATAAAACGAATAAAACACGAAACTGTTCCGACACGGAACTTTTTATTCATCGTCAATGAACGTTCGGTTCGTAAAAAATTCACAACAGTGTCGATAATTTTGCAGCGCTAACGGTGTATTTGATTGCATGTCTATTCTCGCAATCCTCAGACACGAAGCAGAAATCCAGTCTAAATCCAGAAGCCCTGAATGTGTATGTATGGTCAAAGTTTTACCAATCTACTGCGAGCATGTCGGAAGAATCAAATTCGAATATTTCAAGATGGACGTGTACGGTGATTCCTTAGAATTCGACTTCAACTACTATCCAACTGCGTTCTCAAAAGGCCATTAGTCTCACCACGGCAATGTAGGCAATGACTTGAGTGCTACTGAAGGCTTGCAATGGTTGTACAAGGTACTCGCGTCAAGAAAAAACTTGAAAAGTTCTTACAAGGTAGCCATTGTAGCGACTGCATTTGCATAGAATGCTTCATATTCCTACCTTTGAGTGGGTCAGATAATCCACTGAGGATTGTATATTTTGGGGATGAGTTTCATATTGTATGTTCTAAATCTAAAATGTTATCTATTTTCAACTACTAGCGCAATCAGAAGATGCCCTCTAAAGCCAAATATATTAGAATCAGAATCTTTCAAGATATCGATTGACCTCAAAAACATCAACAATATGAGTAAATATTGACATGTGCTGTTGACAGATAACGCGTTGTAGTGTAGAGAGAGTGGAGTGTAAAACGAGCGTCGGTGGTGCAGCGGTTTAGCACGTGCTCCTGGAAAGAGTAAGACCTGGAATCAAATCCCGGTTGACGCAAACGTTTTTGCACACCACTCTACATCATTGGATTTATCGAATACAAGAAAATACATTCAATAACAACTGGGAAGATGTCTTTTTTTGCAAGGATGTGGTTTCTCCATGAACACTTCAAAGTTGGAAAAGCATTAGTGTTGATTTTACTAAAAATACTCCTACAGATGTTTCCTCAATGATATTCCACAACCTCTTGGGAATAACCTTTCTTCAACAATTTTTCAACTCGGATTTGTGGGGAAGGGGGGGGGGGTGGGGTCCATGTACGAATCTTAGTAGTCGCCCGAACGGGGAGACCAGCTGAGGGTCAAAATGACCCTCACCGTCCACAAAGGATATAGTATGTTTCGAAAAATCTATGGTTTTCTTAAACGCCGTTTTATTCAGGCGCAACCACTCGCAGCCTTTCCTAAGTGCAAGGCTGCCTATTTTCCTTGAGCTAGATGACGTTTGAAGGCGTCCCTGTGAGCAGGTCAAATACCAAAAGTATCACCTGACATCCGGATTAGAAAATCGTCTTGACATATGATGCATATGGCTTGTTGTGTTTGGACTTTCTTGGTTCTTGCTCGTAACCGGGTTCCTTGAATGAAATCTATCCAAAAATCCGCGGAGGTTTTTCGCGTCGACGTTTTGATTTGTGCCGCACAATTCTAACCACCGCCACGAAATCGTCGCCGTTATTTTTTTTTAGTTCTTTGCGTGCCTACAGGGTGTTTTTGAGAATTCTTAATTTTCTTTCGGAGTGCTTTCTAAGCAAAAGTGGTACACCTCTTTTCACTCATCTATCAAACAACGCGTGTTTCACGAAAGATAGAGTACATCATACCTAAACTCATGCAGTCTTCTCTGATCGAAGTCTTTTTTTTCACGTAGACTTTCACACACGCGGTTAGAACCTGCTAACAACGTAATGTATAAGATAAAATTTCTATGAGTCCAACAGATTTTGCTAGACCACTATTTTTAGACAACTTTGATATTAACACTCAATTTCTTTATTATGTAGAGTAGATAAAACTATCATAATATTTTGGTTCGGTGCACTATTGTGCGGTGTACAGAAAATTCGACCCCAGGCGGCAATTGAACTTGCGTTTTACTTAGACGGGGGCTCATGCTACCACTACACTACATAGCTCATTGCTTTCATCATTCTTTTTTCTTAAAGAATCGACACATATTGCAGCAATTAACCTTTAGACGACGTAAATCTCAACGTCCTTAGTTTTTTCTAATAAGAATATCATAACGCTGCTAAAAACACATTTCGCACGAACTATACATATTTAGAAAGCTGTCAGCGTAACTGTATGCAATGTCGATATGTGCTTACCAGACCATTCGTAATAAATGTTCGTTGCTTTGTTTTCGCATCGGGAAGAAATTTCAGGAAATCAACGGCGCTTGAAAGAAGTCCACTTTGTTTTATTGAAAACATAGTACGTCGAAAAGGTCATTGAAGAAGTCTCTCCTCAGTGTCATGCCAATTTTGGAAACACCCCCTTTTCCTTCGCGTCATTTTACACTATCAATCGCGTAAGTGTGAGATGAGTGTGTATAAAGACAAATCTTGATGCCTCAGCGCAGATTTCATCCCGTCACAAAAGAATTCTGACACGAGTTCCTTTTTGCTTTCTGACATCAGTACATTCTTGATCAATCCCATTCCCACCTGTCCATGAAACTCTCAGTAAAGTGTTATATGAAAATCGAGAAAAGTTATCCTGAATGGCTGACGCGAGGTTGGTAAACTAGTCATAGCATTCCGGCTGACGTCTCGGCTACCCGCCTTCTTCAGACCCTGGGCGTATGTAGCATTAGTCTATCTGAATGATTCTCAGTAAAGTTGTGCGGTTTTGTTTCGGCAACCACTTGATTCCTGCGTCAACGACGGATGTTTTATATGCATACTAACTGTGAGCAATGAAGACATTATAGCATAACAAATCCGATTTCCGTTTCTCAACAATTTAATACAGCAAACGCCTTGCAGAGAAAATTGTAATTCACATATGTCAATCGATTTCTGCTTCTGCAGATTATCTCCAAGTAGTAAACGTTCAACCTCGACACGTTGTAGAATGCGGTATTGAAAGTTACAGTGTTATGCCGGAGCATTGCAAATGGGAAGGCGGAGTCAAATTCAAGCCGTTGCACCTAAAGAATCGGCCATCCTTGATTTTTCGTTCAAGTCGGTTTTCCTCTCGGTGTTCGACATGCGTTTACTTGATTAAACTATAATATTGTGCCTCATAGTAACAGAATCTGCAGCTAAGCATGTTTTGAAGTAAACTGTACTATGTATGAGCTTTGCAAATTCAAAAGGCCAGGGATTCCTATCAGGTGTACAAATTTGACTACGCCATTTTTTGCTCTAAGAATAATGAAGATAAAGACATGTAAATTTATATATTGTTTGAAAGTGCGTTAGCAGCACATTTTACTTATGTGTTTTCTACGTAAAAGGATAAAGGATAAAGCTCTCGGCGTTGATCAAACCCTGAAGGATGCGCTATGCATTCGTCTTCAATTTCTAAGTTCGTTTGAGGTGATTGAATTCGTATCTGGCCTTCACAATATCTCGCAGTGGCCTCCCGCTGAGCCGAGTCAGTGCTGCATATTCTTCCAAGACATGTCTGAGACCAGTATGGTACCAATTTGCCGAGCCCGGAGGGATGGATGGCTTGGTGAGCCATGAGCGCGAGATCGAACCATTGACCTCGTGTGCGACGGAGGCCACCTCTAAACCACTGCACTACATGCGCTCATTATATATATATATATATATATATATATATAAATAAATGTATATATATATATATATATGTAATAAACTTTCTCAGATTTGTGGAAAGAATTTGAACCTTGGACAAGAAAGGAGTCAAAGTTATCTAACGTAGCAATTTGAACTTTGATTGTTCAGCACATAAATTGCGGAATTTCATTGTAGTGAGCACAACGATTTTCACTGTCAGAGGCTTCACTTTGCCTGTTAATATGGTTTACACTGGAAGCTCCACAGCTTCTGCTCGGGTACCTGGTTTTGGAGCTAGTAGGGATGTAGCTCGAGGATTTGTATCACGTCTGGTGATACAAATAGTGAATACACAACTACTAGATTTTATGTTTGCTTTTCGAGTGAATTGGGAGGACGTAGAAATGTAGCTCAAATTTCGGGGCAGTTCCTCAGACTCGTAACATTTCGATGCCTTTGATCACTTTACTTGATTCGATTCAGAACTTGTGGATATACTCTTCAAAGATGTGATAAATCTTGCTCTTCAGGTTTTCGACGTTCTTGATAAGCCCGTAGCGCGCTTCTACCTGATGCCGTAATGTCAACCATTTTGGGTCAACTTACCGTCAACACTATTGACGAGCCATTGCTATGTCCGAATGTTATATTGAATCCAGACATGATTACGGGTTGGTTTTCAATATTGAACACTTATTTGAAAGATTCCATAAGATTGACAACACTCCTAGAAATCCAGAAATGTTTGCTACCGCTTACTATTAACATTTTTTGGAAAATTAATAGAAGTTATGCTAGAACAAGAGGAAAGCTCTCAGAGTGGCACTAGAAATAGAACCTTTGGCATTGATGACATTTTTCAATATTAAGCGGTGGTTCATAGGAGTTTGAAGAAATATGAGAAAATCAATTCCACAACTATTCCGAGGTTTTTTTTTGGCTTTCTATTGCGATAGTAAAAGGCGTCCGTTTGAAACAAATAGTTTGTTGCAGTAATGATGGAACAAAAGTGTATCATTGTTGGCAACACGGTGACGGGAATTTGCGTTAGTACGATGAATCAACAGGGAAAGTGTACTACACCACCAATGATGGCAACAACAATGCCTGTTACCAATTATACATCATTGTCAGGAACTCTAATGGTCCGAACCGCTTTTTCATTTCTACATTTTAACTTTGTAAGATAAACATATGTATAGACTGCAAACATCATCATGGCGAGTTGGTCGAAAACGATGTGGGAAAGTGTTTTGAACACAGCTGTTCGAATGTTGGCGTTAGGTACTGCATCGCACTTCTTCTCGACATCTGCCAGTGTCCGCGGAAATTAAAAATAAACTGGGCCATGTTTAAGACAAGTATTTTATTTGACCGACACATATTGTGGCATTATATCGGTAATAAACTGGCAAAAATGACTTTTGCTCAATCACTGTAATGTAATGATTTACGTTGAAGACCAACGTGGTATATTTTAATTTAGTGCCCTCTTCAAGAGTATTGGAGAAATTTGCAATAAAAAGTCGGAGCGAATTTATAATCTGAGAAAATCCTGTTTTACGGATTTTATTAAAGCAACTGGTTGGAAAAGGATTGAAAAATTGGAAGCTAAGAAAGTTCAAACATAAAGCTGGCCTTGATTATGCCTCGAACCACGTTAGACGACGGCTATTTCACCACTGCATTTAGTCTTTTCATGCCCAGCGCATAGCTTACCGAGCTAAGATAGTGAAGGCGCCTACTCAGAAGGAGCTTGTCGATCCCCCCGTGAGGATAGGAGGAGTTTATTAACCCCTAAAGGACGGCTATGCAAATCGGAGCGCATAGAGCGAATTACGCGATTTCGACGTTTGATTAAAGTCTTTTTTACTTCATTTAGAAGAAACTTTGAAATTCTTATATTGCTTATATAGAATAAGATTTTCTCTACTCACCATATGCTTTCGGAGTCATACATGTCTTCTGTGAGGCAAAACGCGAGTTTACTACGCAGTCGTACTGAATTTGGCATTAAATAAATAGTTGGCCTAGTACAGAGGGGATCACAAGGAAAATCTTCGATTTTGCGCTTTCCTAGTTTTATACAAGATCCAGGAGTTATCATAGTAAATATAAACTCAAGAACAGCAGATAATTCATCAGAAACTATGATACATACTGTATTCGATACCCGTTCATCGAAAACTTTCACTATAACTAAGTTTATATCAATCATTCGCTTATTTCCAGCTACTCAGAG